ATATATATATATATACATATATATATATATATATATATATATAATCTTCTTATTTTAACAAATTTAGTTTCTGTTTGTTGAACAATTTTCCGTGGAAAAGATTTTCAACAAAACAATATATCTTTGTATAAATGTCCGTACTTAGTCAAAAAAGTGACTATTTATAACGGCTTGTGTTTCATAGAAGTTATACACATTTTGAAGGAATGCTGCATCAGATAATAGTTTCCCAAACAGCAGAAGGACAATTCCGTTACTTAAGCCTTCAAGCTTTGATAATGATGGGACGAGTTTGAAGCTGCCTGAACACTGCTCTTGTCTTTGATCTGCAAGGCTTGATGTGCACGACCTTTCTCATGGAGCATACTTTTTTGACTTTATAGAAGAAATTAGAATATTAACAATGAGCTTTCGTTATGCTGGCAGATGGATGTAGCAGCACGTACATTTTTGTGTCACTCTAAATCTTTCTTGAAAAGAATTATTGAAAATCAATCATCAGATTGTGGATCTTAGTGGAAATTCCCGTTAACAAGTTTTTTTTTCCTCTAGTGATTCTTGATATATATATAAAATATATATATATATATATATATACATATATATTACTCAAGAATCAAGAAATATAAATATATATATGTAATGAACCAATTTCGTTTTTATTAGAGTCAGTTGATCTCTTTTTAACAACAACTAAATTAACATTTTTATTGTTCCTGTTTAAATCGGTGCCCGAGAAGCATCTGAAAATTAACGAAGCAAGTGAACAAATATCCTGTGTGAAGTGTCCCATTATAACCGTAAAAACTCCCGTTGTGACAATTTAGCTCCCAATGTGACTATGATAATAGTTGACTTATAGGTGTGACGATAGTTGACATCCTGGTGTGACAGCGATAGTTGACATCTTGGTGTGACAGCGAAAGTTGACATCCTGGTGTGACAGCAATAGCTGACATCTTGGTGTGACAGCGATAGCTGACATCTTGGTGTGACAGCGATAGTTGACATCTTAGTGTGACAGCGATAGTTGACATCTTAGTGTGACAATGATAATTGTCATCGTAGTGTAAGCACCTTTGTTTATTTTTTCTAACTTGAACAGTAATTTAACAGATTTGTATGATTTAAATAATGGCGTGTACAAACGATCAATTAGTACAAATACTAGAATAGAATATTTGAAAGACAAGTCCAGAATAAAACTGAAAGGAAATTTATTTTTTATTGTATAACAAATGGCCAAAATATGTTTTTCTATGAGTTACAGTGAACAAATTGAATCATAAAATTGTAGGATTTTTTAAACCTTTGTTGGACAGCTACAAGGATGGTTAGAACATTATTTTGACAACTAAAATAATAGTTAAATCACTACTGGACAGTTACAATGATGGTTAGAACATTATTTGACAGCTAAAAGGATGGTTAGAAAATTATTTTGACAACTACATGGACGGTTAGAACATTTTTTGACAACTAAAAGAATGGTTGGACTGGACAGGTGCAAGGATGGTTGGTAATCTACAAGGATTGTTCACATGGCATTTAAGGAAGCAATATCTCAAACAATCTAATGTTTATAGAGGCAATGTTACACCTACATACTTTGTTTAATGTCAAATCTAACGTTGAGTTGTTGAGCCGAAAGTGATTTTAGTTTTAAGCTACAAATGCCCAATGAGGTCTCAGAAACCAATCAAAAACAAACATTTCATGAAATAAGATTGATATTAATTACATTCAGTTTACACTAAGAGACTAAGAGATTATTTGTAAAAAAAAAATATTCATTGAAAACCACACGAACAATCTTTACAAAAAGTTGTTAAAATATTTTTTACTAAAAGTATACATTATATTAGCGGCCTGATGCTCTACACATCAAAGTGACTGAAGGAAAACGACGACTGCAGCCACAATAAGTATGGTCAGGGGACAAGAGTAGCCGATGGTGTTTCCGGAGGAGATTGTGCATAACCGACAGCACACGTTGGCATTTGAATGACACATGCTCTTATCTTTACAAAGCTCTGGTGTTCGGTCACCGTACTCACAGCCTGAAAAGAAAAGACATACTTTTTAATAAGGATTTGTCTCAAATGGGGTATCTGTCCAGATATTTAGAATCCCAGACAAAAATACGCACAGTAGTCCGGTGCTTTTCCCAAACTTTAAAGTTTCCCATTTCACAAAGGACCGCTGTCAGATTCTGTATGTATTTTTAACCTTTTGTTTTAATCCTTAATTTGTTATAAAATATTTTT